CATAAAGAGCTTTGTCAAGTCTACAAATATGATGCAGAGCGTGAGGATTTTCAAAACCTGGAGGCTGTCTCATATATACCTCCTCTTCCAGAACACCATGAAGAAACGCGTTCTTGACATTTAGCTGCCGTAAACTCCATCCTCGAGAAACAGAAAGAGCCAAAACAATTTTAATAGTAGCAATTTTAACCACAGGGCTGAAAGTATCCTCATAATCAATTCCATACCATTGTTTGAATCCTTTTGCAACCAATCTTGCTTTGTACCTGTCAATAGAACCATCAGCTTTCTTCTTGACACGATATACCCATTTGCAGTCAATTAAATTCTTGTTGCTGCTTGGAGGAACAAGATGCCAAGTCTTGTTCTCAATTAATGCATCATACTCTTCTTGCATTGCTTGACGCCAGTTTGAGTCATTTAACGCCTCCACAAGTGTGCATGGTTCACCTCCTGTAGAAGATAACATGCACCATCGGACAGTGCCGTCAGTATATTGTTTTGGCTGTCGTATACCTTTCTAAAGACGTGTACGAACTCCAACAGCAGCAGGTTCAGAAGGTGGAGGTGGCGGTGAAGGTGATGCATCAGCTTCTGAATTCGCTTCTGAATTTTCACTCCCATCTTCATTTTCTGAAATACTTCCCCCCTCAGCAGTTGTGGCCACAGAAGAGGCAGAGGAAACTGCGGCAGACAGCTGACCAGAGGAGACAGGAGACCGGGGCGACGTCGGGGTGTGCAGAGGCGGGGACCGCGGCGACAGAGACCGCTCAGGAGGGGCACCCGAGCTGTCTGCTGCGCGTCGTGAGTGGCCAGGGGAGCGTGCGGGAGAATCCTCCTCGGGCTGGCCGTCGTCGAGATCAGTGCTGGCAGTAGAATAATCAGGCGCATCCACCTCAATATCAGTGTCTGTTTCGGCATTTTCTGCTGGATTTTCACTTGCAATTTCTGAACCATTGGGAGAACCATTTGGACTGAAATTTTCTTCGGGATCCTCTTCTACCTGTTGCACATCAGTTATTGGCACAATAGGAGACACATGGTTATCAATATTAGGTGCACCCTCATGAGAAAAGGAAGTGGAATATGGAAGAAGTAAGATTTGTTGTTTTAGGAGGGCACCGGCATTGGGATGAAGGGAGGCAAAAGGAAAAACATTCTCATCAAAAACTACATCACGTGAGATATAAATTATTCCTGTTGAAACATCAAGACATTTGACACCCTTGTGAAGAGGACTATAACCAAGAAAAACACACCGTTTTGAGCGAAAAGCAAGCTTTCGCTTGTTGTAAGGACGAAGATTTGGCCAACAGGCACAATCAAAAGTTCGAAGAGCATCATAATTTGGTTTGACATGAAGGAGACGTTCAATAGGAGTGTCAAAATTTAGGACTTTGCTAGGAAGCAAGTTTATGAGAAAGGTGGCAGTTATAAAAGCTTCATCCCAATATTTTAAAGGCATGGAGGCATTGGCAAGTAATGCTAGACCAACTTCAACTATGTGACGGTGTTTTCTCTCAGCAGAACCGTTTTGTTGATGAGCATGAGGGCATGAAACATGATGAGTGATGCCAACCCTTTGAAAGAAACCATTTAACTTTTCATACTCGCCTCCCCAATAGGTTTGCATAGTAATAATTTTCCTATCAAACTTGCGCTCAACATATTGCTGATAATTAAGAAAGGCTTGATAAACATCAGAACGCTTCTTAAGCAAATATATCCAAGTAAATTTACTGAAATCATCGATAAAGTTTACATAATATGTATGTTTTCCCACAGAGAGTGGGGCAAGACCCCATACATCGGAAAAAACTTGCTCCAAGGGAGCAGTGGAGACACTAGAGGAAACATGATATGGCAACTGATGACTCTTAGCTAACTGACAAGAATCACAAACATATGGAGTACTCTCTGGGGTGTAAGCTATTTTATTTCTCCTAAGAACTTGCTGAACGACAAAAGAAGAAGGATGTCCTAAACGCCGATGCCAAGTAGAGGATGACGGCTTTATTGTGAAGAAAGCATGCTTGGAAGTCTCATGAAACATAGGCACCAAAGGATAGAGTCCACCATAGCAAGGGCCCCTAAACAGAGTTCTTCAAGTTGCCTGGTCCTTGATTAAAAAGAAGAAAGGATGAAACTCAATAAAGACAAGATTATCAAGAGTAAATCGATGAATAGACAAAAGGTTCTTAGATGCATTTGGAACAAGAAGAATATTTTTAAGGTCAAAGGAGCCATGAGGGGTACGTAACATTGAATCACCAATATGACTGATGTTCATACCTATGCCTTCAACAGTGCGCACCTTGTCTTGCCCATGATATTTGTTGGCGATGAGAAGCCTGTTCAGCTCACTAATGATGTGATCGGTGGCTCCAGAATCAGCATACCAATTTGTGTCAACACCATATGGGGCAGCAGCAAGAAGTGCCCCCTTTTCTGCATCATCTCTCACATCATCTCTCTTTTTCTTGTCATCAGCATAACGCCACCAACAATCACTAGCAGGGTGTTCATGCTTCTTGCAAATCTGACAATCGGTGTCAACATACTTGGTAGGGTACGATCTGGGCGACGTCCACCACCATCATTACGCCTATCACGGCGATCATCACGCCGGTCTCCACAGCGATCATCATCTCTACGATCATCACGACGCCAACCACGGTCATCATCTCTACGGTCATCACGGCGCCAACCACGGTCATCATTGCGGCGCTCATCACGACGCCAACCACGGTCATCATCATTGTCACGGTATCGATCACCACCACCCCTCCACGGTAGGAACAACCACTGTCAGGGCTGCGACCACGGAGAGGAGGAGGAGGAGGTGAGTAACGACGTGGAGGTGGAGTGCGACCACGTGAGCGCTCATAGCCCCAAGGAGCCAGATTTGCAGAGGAAATAAACGAGCCATTCTCTTCAACTCCATTGCGCATATCATATCCACATAACTGCTCATAAAATTCATCTATGGTGGTGCTAGGGTTTCCATGAACTGTGGTGATAAGAGAGTTGTATTCACCTTTGTCCAGACCATGCAGAAGGTAACCTAGGAGCTCATCATCTCCAATCGGTTTTCCAAGTGCTGAAAGCTCGGAAGCGAAGCCTTTCATCTTAGTGTAGTACTGATTAGCAGTCATTGTCAGTTTCTTGGTGTCGTTGAGCTTCTCACGCAGATGTTGAGCCTTGGTGCGAGATGCTGTTTTGAACATAGTGTTAACGGCAGTCCACGCCAAAGCAGTAGTATCCATGCCTAGAACATGCGACAGAATCTCTGGAGAGAGCGAATTCAGAAGAAAACGCAACACCTGTTGGTCCCGAGCAATCCAGGCCACATACGCAGGGTTTTCAGCTTCGATCTTCGTCCCATTGGAGCCATCAGACTCGGTGATCTTGGCTGGAGCACGGTCGGAGCCATCGAGAAGGCCCATAACATTGGCGCCACGGAACGCCGGAACGATGAGGGCTTGCCATAGCAGAAAGTTATCTCGCGTCAGAAGCTGAGTTGGAGGGCTCCCGAGGGCAGCGGCCAGGGCTGAAGTTGATGTCGACGAGCTCATGGTGTTAGATCGGATCGGAGGTTGTTTGTTTGGTTGTTGATGCGGCGGCGGCGGCTTAAAGGCAGCAGCGACGGCGAGGTTGTTTGTCTAGGTTGTTGATGCGGCGGCGGCGGCTTGAAGACAGCAGCGGCGGCGAGGTTGTTTGTTTGGTTGTTGATGCGGCGGCGGCGGCTTGAAGGCAGCAACGGCGGCGAGGTTTTGTTTGTCTTCGGCGGCGGCGGCGGCTGGAGAGCGGCGGCGGCGGCGGCAGCTAGGTCACGGGAGGAGGGGCTCTGATACCATGTCAAATGTGATGACGGGAACGGTGCTTGAGTCCACACCGGTTGCATGTTAATATAGATGGCTTGGAAGCCGAGTTGGCTTGGAAGCCAAGTTGTACAAGGTGCAGGTATTCGTATACAATACTATACGCTATACGGTATACAAAAACTAAAATTACATTTAACAGTCTGAACCATGCCTCGTCGCCATTTGTGGCTTGAGGTTCGACTAGGCGAGCTGCTTGTGTCCTTGTAGTTGTGGTGTGTGAACTGTATGCTGAAAAGCGTTGTATCAGTCGCTTGGCTCTTCCTCTTTGCTACTGATACACCTCTCCATTGTGTATCCTTGAAAATCAGGGGGCATAGGATTATCTGGGCAGACTTAACTCTCCAATCTGGTGATGATGATCCACTGCTTGAGGCGATAATTTCAGTTCGACCAATCCTCACTAATGTTATGATTCCTTTGTAAAAATAAGTTTTCTCGTCACCCTTCATAGATTGTAACTGCATTGGGATGAATAATTTTTGGTTCAGTCCCAATTTTGTATGACGCCCTGCTTGCTATAAGGACTGCTAGCCTTGGTTTGCAGCCTATTATATATGCACTCGCAGATTAATTGGAAGCTAATAGGCTAACAAATTATGTAGCAATTACAGCTACTTGCGCCAGTAGCTTGTTTGCTCTGCGAGTGAGTTCTTCAGAGCTTCTATTCAATTCTGTTCACCTACTCAATGGAGCTACTATGTTTATCTATTGGTCTATACATACATGTAAGAACTTTAAGCTGGCCTACTGCCACTTCATGTGTTAGCTTACTTTGGTTTCGGTGGGTTTCACGAAGGACATAAGTTTTGGTTATAGTCGATGCCATCGGCGCAACAAGTCATCTAGTGACCAATTGTTTGACCAGATGGCCAGATCTGGACAAGAAAGCACACAATACAGCTCAGCTTCAAAGTAAAAAAGGGGGATCTTATTCTTCATCCAATCAAAAGTTTGGTATCCCAGGAATTCGGTGACACAAAGATAATCGCGCATGAATCTGCTAAAATCGCTCATGAGGTAGGTAGGGCAGGCTGTGCTATTCTCTGAATGTTTTTCGCATGGAAGGATCCGTTCGACGGGCAGTGGCATAATAGGCCTGGCGTTGATCTGCATAGTTTACTCCTTCCCGTCAGCCGCGCGGAGGGAGCCGAGCTGCACCGGCGCCTGTGTGGACACCACCTTGGACGATCCATACAGGGCGACGTCCTTCCCCTCGGTCCTCTCCTTCTCGATCTGCTCCTTGATCCAGAAGTAGGTGAACCTTAGGCCATCCTGCACAGAATTCATAGGTATTGTTATTAATTATCTTCGACTTCCTGAGGATTTTACTGAAGCCATCATAACAGGACCAGCCTGCATCTGTGCTAATGTAAAGAGCTTCAGGTGTTATTATCATGTGGCGTTGGAATTGTCAGTGTTTGACAATTATGCTGCATTACCTTGAGCCTCATTGTGGGGGCCCAGCCAAGCTTCTCCTTGATGAGTGTGTTGTCAGAGTTGCGGCCACGGACACCCTCTGGACCAGGGATGTGGTGGATGGGCAGCTTCTTGTCCTCGAAGCCGAGAACAATCTCAGCCATCTCGTTCATGCTCACCATTTCATCGCTTCCGATGTTCACGGGCTCGCAGAAGTCTGACTTTGTCAATCTACAAAGTACAGTTTGTCAATATGTTGATTTATCATTTCTGCCAAGGCAGTAGTTTTTAATTGATATCTTCTTGATATTAATATATTCCCTTTATCGGGTAAAACAATGTAGTTCTGTCTGGTATAATGTGGATAATGTGACGAGTAGCTATATACCTCAGAACACCCTCGACGCACTCGTCGATAAAAGTGAACGATCGAGTCTGGAGACCATCACCCCACATCTCGAACTGTTCGGTGGAGGTCTGAGCCTTTCTACAGAAGGCAGCTGGTGCCTTCTCACGACCGCCTAACAAATTGCAAAATTGAATTATTTTGCCTCAGGGTGACATTATGATCGAGCTTGTGGATTTACCTTTCCATGTTCCAAAGGGACCGTAAATGTTGTGAAAACGGCCAATACGGCACTCAATGTCAAAGTCCTTGGTGTAGTGCTTGCACAGCTCCTCGGTCGCGAGCTTCTCCAAGCCATAGGCATCTTGCGGCTGAATGGTAGCACAGTAATAAAGGAAGTTCAAATCTGGATATTTTAACACATCTGAGTATAATACAAAATGGCATCAATTTCCTATGAACTCACCTCAGCAGGCCAGGCATCAGCTTCCTTCAAGCTCACATTTGTCTCAAGTTGTTTGAATTCAGGATAGATGCATGCGCTCGAGGCATAGAAGAACCTGCAGGACCAAAAAAAACAAAATTGAATCGATATGGGATACATAAGTTATTTGGATTTGAGGCAATGTACTTGCAAAGTAGACATGTACTTGAAACAATTCGAAAGGAAAACAGAGTTAATTCTGATATCGTAGCAGCACTACTTTTTTTCTTAAGTTCAGTTTGGTAGCGTCAATATCAACTCGACAAGAAACAGATCTGGATATGCCACTAATGAATATATTTGTCAAATGCAAGCATGCATCTTTAACAAAGCTTCTAAAGACCACCATGCACATTAAATGTCTACTCCAGGTTTTATCACTCTTGCCTGAGAAAGCTTTTCAAGTAATTTCTGAATTCCAAATAAACCCTTTTCAAGTAATCTCTGGACAAGCTCATAGCACACTTCAGCTAGATGGGTAAATGAAGTTACAAACCTCTTCACGCCGTTGATACGCCCGGCCTCAAGCATGTTGAAACTGATCATGGTGTTGTTGTACATGATAACAGAGTGGTTAGACTGAATGAACCCCATGCCTCCCATATCAGCAGCGAGATTGAAGACATGGTCGACATTGGTGGTGACCTTAAGGCAGTTGTCCATGACCCTGAGGTCAGCAAGGTGGAACTCATGGCAGAACATGTCCTCGGTCATATGCTCGTTCTTCTTCCAGTCTGAGGCAATGATGTAGTGCCCCTCACTCTTCAGACGGCGAGCAATATGGGATCCAATGAAACCACCAGCTCCAGTGACCGAGATTCTCAGCTTCTCAGATGGCCAGTACAGCTCCCTCTCCAGCTCAGCATAGGTGTACTCGCCATAGGGAGTTCCAGTCTCGTCGGTGCTCCCCATTCTGTTGTTCAAAGAATTTGAAATAAAAATGAGTAACACTAGAAGTCAAATTGATATGAAGCATTACTGAATTTCCCTTCAGATAGGCACTTAATTCGAACTAGGACACAAAAAAATATCATGGAATTAAGAGGGAAAAAACTGCTAAGATTGAACAGAGTACATCAGTAAACATCCACTGCTTAGAGGGCTGCTCATTAATTCCTTGTCATGTGTCTCAAATATTTCAAACAGAAATGTTCTGTGGAGCCATGGTCCAGCCAAATCTATGTTCAGCACACACACCTATCGACAGCTTTTACAGGGATCTGTGTCTGGCGAGCATAGTAAAGCATGGGGGGATCATCAACTGAAGGTTGGAAGGCCTGCAGCCGCTAATTAAACCTACTGTAGGCCAACACCGTTGGGAATAAAATATCCAACTTGCTTCGAACAACACTAATGCTGTGTACGATGCACCAGCACTGTCCACATTACTGTATTGCCTCATCCTGTAGTCAGCTGTGGCCATATAACTGGACAGTACTAATAAGCTGAATTAACATGATTTACCAGTAATATCCTACGAACCAAAAGAGGCCTAAACTGTCAAGGTCACTAGTCTCGCTGTGTTGTCGATGCGGCCTCAAATTTTTTTTTTCGAGCATTGCAAATCTTTCTAGACCGCCATGTACGATTATACAAAAAAGTTCTGCAGTGTGTTGGTTCAGTTTCATCATCAGTTATCCTTGAAAAACAGTTGTTTTGCATCAGCTTTTTATTTTGAAATGGCAGGTCAAAACTGATTTTTTGTCCACACGAGCTTGATTCGCAATAACTCTTTTTATGCCAGGAGTGTCGCCTCTACTGAATGCGATATCCTCCTTTGACCAAGTCGAAAACACAATAGTTAGACAGATGGGACGACTTGGAGGTATTCTCAGGTTCTCACAACTGAACAAGCTAAACCTGAAACATTCTGTATGGTTGGCGGGTACCTTCGGCTTAGAAAATATGTTGAGGGAAGACGAACAGTGCCGACAGGCCTGACCAGAACACTATCAATTGTGGCAGCCCATCACGTCAAAAAGAAAACGAGCCCGGGAAGGCCTGCGAGTACGAGCAACCTGACGGGGAGATGGATTCAGGCAAACGGTGCAAGATCAAGAAGTTTGGAAAATGCTGACAGTGACAGGGGCCGGATCCACATGAGAGCTGTACGATCTTTCAAAAAAAAAACATGAGAGCTGTACTAGATCGGACGGTGGGTTCGGGGTCAAAACAGAATACTATGGCTGCACATGGTTCAACCAAGCACTACTCCTTGACAGAATCTTTGGGGCTAATGGCGATACACTGATACTAGTACACATGAACAGCGAGCACCCGCCCGCCTGCTGTCCAAGTCAACCACAGAACTTCCTGCGATTCATGGCGCCTAATTGTACACACGCCCATGCCCGGTACCAATCCATAGCAGCAGCAATCGTGCACCAAGCAATGCATACATGCAAATTACTACGAGGCAGTTCATAGTTCATACATACATACACCCAAGCAGACTCAGATGGCGATCATGGAGGGATGCATGAGGAGCTTACCTTGCCGGAGGTGTCGGGGCAGTCGTCGGCGGTGGGAAGGAGGGGGACAAAGGAGGCGAGGCGGCGGTGTGCGGCCCTGGATGGATGGATGGATGCACTTCCCGCGATCTAGATCGGGTTATGTAGGGGATGATGATGGGTAGGTAGGTGGAGGGAGACCGAGGAGGGAACGAGACAAGACAAATAGTATACAGGAGGAGGATGGAGGGAGGGAACGTGCGTCAGGCTCGGCGGCACGTTGCCTCCGGCTGCGCCAATGGCAGCCAGGGGTCGTGGCTTGGTGCACGTTACCTTCGGCTGCGCCGGTGGCAGCGAGGGGTCACGGTTTGGTCTGCGCTTCGTCCCGGTCTTCGCGGTGCTTTGCGACCGGTGGTATCGTCAAGTACGTAGTACTGAAGTTGATGCATGTGGTCTAGGCTATGATTGCCCTTTGACGGCGTTTTTGTGCTGTCACGTCGACGCAACGGTGCCAAGGTGTTTGCTGTATCCCCATCACATGTCTGCTCTTGCTCATTTACTTACATCTTGTAAGGTGTTGAAAGACTTCATAGGCAGCGAACCAACCTGTGGTTGGATGGGTAGAGGGATTGTGTATCTCCAGCCCACATAGACGCAAGCACTCATAATACTTACGTGCATATATTCACCTCTATGAACGCACACATGTACATCCTATCCCTATGAGCATCTCCGAAAGACTGAGCCGACATATCATCTTGAGATTTTACAAAGTCACTGTAGACGCCTCGTAGTCGAGGGGAACATCTTCTCCCACTGAACGTGCATCGTCGGAAATCTTGAAATAAGTTCAGAATAAATGTAAGCACTAGCATTTGAACCTTGATGAGCTGAGGATCAGACCGAGCCTTGAGGGGTGGGGGGTGAGAGGGGCATATACCCCGGGCCCCGCGCGCCAAGGGGGCCCCCAAAATGCCAAAATATCACGTAATATTCCATGTTATTTTCTTCTTTAATCAAAGATTGCATTCTTTAATCTACTATCCCAAAATAGGTATCTCTTCCTCATTTACCCTGATTTTCTTCCTACTTTGGATAAAGTTGAGAGACGAGACTTGCCTGCTCCTCCGGCGTGCGCCCATCTGTGCTCCCGCATACGTGGCATGATTTGATTGGAACAAAATAAAGCCCGGCCCCATCCCCTTAAAATCAGGGGGAGATGATTAGATTATAAAGAAAAAAGAGAAAAAGACAGCCGTAGGATGAAGTGTGAGCACGGATGGAAGCATGGGGAGGGAGCAGGCAAGCCGGATCCAAAGTTGAGAGCCCGCGCGCAGGTACGATTGATAATATGCCAATTACTATTGTGTGCAATTAATTAGTGGTAGTTATTTCCGTTTAAACAATAGAGGTAGCTATGGAAACATATCTCTCATGAT